AAAACAAAAAATATTTACTAATAATAATAAAATTTTCATTATAAAGAGATAATTTCAATTTTACTATGTTTTACTATACTTTTTTTTGGATTTCCGATAATTTATTGTAGGAATGTGTATTATATTTTAAATAATTTTTCAATTTAAATTATCACAATTTTTATCAAAATTGCTAAAGAAAATAATTCTATTTTTAAATATAAGTTTTAAGTTAATATATTAAAGTTTATAGAACATAAGCTTCAAAAATTCAAAAAAGTTTTTAATATAATTAAATTTTTTTATAGTTATCATTCTTGAAAAAGCAAAATAAGATAAATATAAAGAGGTATAACTATAAATAAATATAATTATAAAGAGATTTAACTGTAATTTATTAAATTTTAATAGTATAGATTTTGATATTTATAATATAAACTAGAAAATAAAAAAAATATTAAAATAAAATATAAAATATTATTATTAAAAATTGCTATTTTAATATTAGAAAAATTCATATTGTAACAAAATATCTATAATATAATAATAAAAATATTGAACTAGATTATAATAAATATTTTGACTTGATTTGTAATAAAATTATTTTTTAATAACTTATTAGTCTATATAAAATTTAACTAAAAATATGTTTAATATTAAAAATATGATATATATCAAAAATAATATATATTATATTAATTTATATTTTTTTTTATTATGAAATTTTTAATTTTGTAACTAATTTAAAAGTTTTTTATTTAGATAAACTTGAGAAAATAGTTAATTATATAACAATTTATTATATTTTAAAGTTAGTTTAAATAAATATAAATAATATTATTTGTTAATATTTAAAAAATTGAAATAAAAAATATATATTGTTATGATATGAATATTTAATTTTTATTTTATTGATTAATTTTTATTATAAATTTAATTGAATAATATTTTATATTTATATTTTATTGAATATTAGCTATATGAAATATTATTTATAGATATTTTTAGATAGTTAAATAAAAAATATAATTTAATTAAATAATATTTTATATTTATATTTTATTGAATATTAGCTATATGAAATACTAATAATAAGTCTTAACATTCTTGAATAAATTTATATTAAAAATACTAATCATAAAGTTTGCAAGTAATTTTATAGTATTTTTGATTAACAACAAAAATAACTAACCAATTAAAAATTTTATTTAATTGTTGTTGATATTAAAATTAATTTTTCAAAATTACTTTCATCCAAAAATTCTTATTTTATTTGAAATATCAATAAAAAATATCAAAAAACTTATTGAATTTGATTATAATAAAACCAATACAGAGAAATAAACACCTGGAAAATTCTTATTAATTCTAGTCAATATTAGTAATCTCAGAAAAATACCAAAAAAATTTGAATATTTATATTTCTTTCAAATATAAAGAATATTCATCTTGATTAGACAAATCAAAAAAATTCAAGTTTGCAAAATTCTAAACACAGTTCAATAAGATATTGTTATCTCATAAACTGTCTAATATTTTATAATTTTTTATACACTGACTTTAAATATTAATAATTCAATCAATATTATCTAATTTTGTTAATCTATAATCAAGGTTCTTTACAATAATCACATTGGCACTTTTGAGCTGATATATAAAAAGTTTTTATATTGTTAAAAATTGAAATAGCAATATGATATAAACCAAATTTGATATATATTATATCATTATAAAAAACTTTGACTATAAATACAAAAATATTTATTTTAACTATAGGACTAGATTTAATTATGTATTCCAAAGAAATGAGTATTTAATAATGTTATTATATAGACCTAATGCAAAATCAAACTGGAAACCAGTCAAAATTTGTGGTGATACCAATGAAATGAAGAAACTAAATGCTTATCAATGAAAAAAATGCCAAATACTCACACTCATGAAACTTGGTATGAAACTGATCACATAAGCTATTAGTTATTAGAAATTGATAATGTGAATTTCTCCAAATCACGATCAGTTTCCAATTTGATTTCATGCTGATGATGTTGTTAATAAGTATTTGGCGTTTCTTTTCATTGGTGAGGGTTCTAGCCAGAATTTTGCTGGATGTTGTAATGGTTCAAAAAAATTTTTATTTCGATGCATAATTTTGGTCAGCGTTAAGAAATTAAATCATAATTCTAATTAATAAATTGTCAACATCTGACACGGGTCTAAAAATAATTTTTTTAACCCGAGATCCAGTTGGAAGCTATGTTAGTCAAATATTTGATAGCTTCGAAAGAAAATTAATGGTTTGTCGTCGTTGTCAATTTTCGCTAAACTGGTTTTATTACCGTAATCCATGGAGATTACAGTTAAAGAGATTTTCGAAACAATATGGCACGCTATTTACGCGTTCTTTTATGAGTGGAGGGCACAGCAGCAGCGCGACCTTGTATGCGTATAAAGGAGAAGCTTCAACAGCCCGATATTTGAGTTCAAGTTCAGCTTGTTTAAAACAAACCTTGATTTTCCCACAGTATTCTTTCAAATTTTTTGTGTTTCCTTTTCGTCGTCACTATGCTGTGAAGTCTGAAAATGGAAAAAGCAGCATCGATGAACTTGACCTTGAGGGCAATCTTAATATTTATTCAAGTGAGAAATCGCCGAGTATCAATGATGATACCACGCAAAACCAAAATTTATTGGGATCACATGACCAAATTATTTTTGAAAGTTTTTCCACATATATTCAGAAAAGAGATCATGAAGGAGCAGATAAGTTACTAAGAGCCAATAATATAAGAATGAGTTCCAGTCAGATACCGGAATTTTTGGAAAATTTGAAACCGTTTCTACCCAACCCCGAATTACTAAAGACTGCAAATTCGATATTATTAGAATCTTTATACCCGTTACGTATAGATATGATACATGTGCAAGAACTTTGGAAAAACATGGAGTACCAAAAGATTATTGAGATCTATCAAAGCAAACTCAAAGCAACTAAAACTCCATTATCAGATACTCATTTGTTAGTTACACTTGCAGCATTTGTAAGAAACAAAGATTTGAAAGGCGCTCACGGATTTATCAAAGAACAAAACATTAATGCGGGTGAAATTGACCAATTGATATATCTTAGTCTCTCAAACTATCTGAACCCATCAGAACTAGAAAATTTGAAAAGATTTATCACAAACATCGCAAGAGAAGCGGTCACTAAACTTATGCCAAACACAGCAGAGTTTTCTTTTAAGCTGTCGCGTGTATTCAGAGCTAATAACTGGCAATTAGCATTAAATATTTATAACGACCTCGTTAAAGATGGGACTAAATTGAATGAACTCACTTACGCTACTTTTCTTAAAGGGTTTTTGTCGATTGATCGGTTCGACGAAGCGATGATGATCTGGAAAGATTTGGTGGATTCCGGGCAAAAACCCAGTGCAATTTTGTATAATGCCGTGATTATAGGTTTTGCGAGACGAAGAAACCTCCCAATTGTTGAAAAATTATGGGACAGTATGTTGAAAGATAATATTAAACCGGACGCGCACTCATATTCTGCAATGATTGAATGCTACTTTCGAAGTCGAGAAACTAAGAAAGCGGCTGTACTTTATTTGCAAATGTCTAAAGCGAAAATTCAAATGGACATTTATGGTTATAATCGAATTATCAATGGACTACTTTGGAATAATCTACCAGACACCGCTTTAGATCTGTACAAAGCAATGAAAAAAGGATCTGTACCACCAAACATAGTCACTTACAATACTTTAATTCGTGGTCTAATGTACTCCAAAAGATGGCTTGATCTAATCGATGTCATAAAAGATATGCGGAACGCTAAACACACAGTGGACGCTGTTACGTTAACCACATTTCTCGAAAGATTTTTCGGTATAAATGATATTGAGAGCGCGAAAAGTATAATACCATTGTTTTCTTTGGCTGGTATTCAGCCTAACGCGACCACTTATGGCGCGTTAATCAGTGGCCTTATACGATGTCAGGATTTTGATGGCGCTCAACAAGCACTCGAAGAAATGGTTAAACAAGGACTGTACCCCGGAATTCAAATAATATCAAATATGATACAGGCTCTAATATCCCGAGGAAAAATCAATATCGCTGAAGAATTGTATAATTCGCTGCAGTTGACACCAAACACTCCCTTACTAAATATCATGATTAGTGGATACATGGATGTTGGGGATCCGAAAAAGGCCATGGTCTATTTCAACAACATGTTAAAGTTGCATATGAAACCCACAAAAGACACTTATTTTATTGTGCTTAACGGATTGATGATGTATAATGAATGGGAGATGGCGTATAAAATTTATGATCAGATGATTGAAGACGGGTTCATAGTTGAAACGGGCGCGTTATCACGATTATGTGAATATTTATCGAATCGTAGAAAAATGCAAAATGTGAATTGAAAAATTAAAATCATTTTTTCGGTGATTCTTTTGGGTATTTAATTTTATTTTTATATCACAAAACGGAAGATCACTACAGCAAGTATTAATAATGTATTGTTCAATTCAAATAAAGACATCATTTAGCTTTTGTTGACGGTTGAACTTCGATCGTTTTTTCCCAACATATGTAACAATAATCTTGTTACAACCATATAAAGCATAAAATATTGATGAGGTAATCCAGATAATATTTTGATATGAATGATAAGTAAGCTCAAATCCATCATCGTACATTATATAAGCTTGATGGTATCCTGTCTGAAATCGATGTTGTGGACGAATATGGGCGAGCTTGAGGTTATTCCGTCTGAAATCGATGTTATGGACGAATATGGGCAGTGTATTTGATTGTGGAGGTGCTCGTAGATGAAGCTTAGACTTTCCGTTGAAGTGATTAGAACTGCAGGAGTGTGACGATTGTGGTTCAAAGTATCGTGCATTACGAAGAGGTAGTTGTTGATTTCTGTGTTGGTACTTATGGACCAGATAATCGTGTGGAGAAGGTGGCTGATAATAACTGATATTTCTATGACATTATTATATGGCCGAAATGACGATTGTTGGCTATAGTTATTTAGTACTATCGCGCGAATAAAGTAGCACGTTTGAAATAACATGAACTTCACTGAATGGTAAATGTGATTGTTGATAATTTACATCATTATATATATATAGCCATTGACCAATAGTGAGCATTAGTTTGTGATCTTTAAGTAATGTATAAGTTCATAGTACTGGCACCACAAAAGATAAGTTTGTTGCAAAGAGTAGAAGGCTTGGATCTTTTCTTTTGCTTTATTTAGCTATTTCTATTGTTAAGTAATGGATGAGGAGTAAGTATAATTTGAAGAGAAACCAATGAAACAGGTGGCGGCGCAAGTGTGGAACCGATGATATTCGAGGTAAGTAAACGAACGAAGCCATTAATATAGAGGTGAAGGTGAAAACCGAGGTATGAGTCGATGTATCCTGGTGCTGGCAATTCGTCCGGAACATCACTTAATAAATCATCAGTTTTACTTTACATTTCTTTTCACGAATTCTTCAGTGAAATCGAAAGCTAATTTAAAAATTGTTCATCCCGTAACTATTTTTTTAATTATACATACTAAAGTTTAATGCGCCTTTAATACGCATGAAAACGGGAGACCGACTTATTAACAGAAAGGAAAATATCTGCGAATTAATAATTCATATATTAATTCAGAAAAGTAGTAATATAGCTTTTTTTTAACATCACAATTATTTTTTCGACATAAGGGTTCTTTGTATCAAGTATATTATTCTTCTTACCCTTGCGTCTCTTTTCAATCTCCATATTACTCCAGAAATACGATTGCGAATCGGTGTCGTCTTAGTATCTATATTCACAAGTGTGTCTATACACACAAGTTCGCGTAAAGTATGCGGTTTTCTCTGGACAGTTTCTGCAGCCACATTGAAAACGTTAAATTTTTTTGCTGCTGTTGTTGATAATTTTTTCGTGTTATAAGAGAAAGGTGCGTGTGTGTACAAGTTTTACCAGATTTATTATCTCTCTTTTTAAGAGAGTAACCAAAAAAATATATATCACAATTGACTTTTATTTTTCATTAAGCAAATGGATTTGTTTTTATTTGGCACTAAGGAAAAGATAAATGCCACCTCATTATTATTATTCTGTATTTAAATAATTATTTTTACCTACATGTCTTTACCGCTTTGAGCTTGACGCGTCGTCGTAATTTTGTCATGTGATCAATAGATCAAGTATAAAAATGAGGCAAATTTTGATTCTTGACGATAAAATAAAATGTCGAACGAAAAAAACATAGTTAGATCAACATATACGAAATCCGGAACACTCGTAAAAGAATTCACATATAGTCTATCTTCTTCATCCCCACAGACTACAACTACAGAAAATAATCAACTTGAGTCACTCTCTAATACTTTACTTTCATTACAAAAAGACATTAACACATATTTGACGAATGAGATGAAAACTATTATCAGTGGTGAGGCTGGTGATGTCGAAGATGACATTTATGAAGATGACGATGACGATGACGAGGAAGAGAAAAAAGACTCGAAGGGAAAAAATAAATAAGACATGCCCGAATGTTATATGCGCCACATTTTCATTAGATCAAAGATCATCTTTTCTGTACGAAGATTACTTTCATTGTGAAATAAACTAATAACGATAAACTTGTATATTCCGGAATATTTTTTCCGAGCTATTAAATTCTATTTTGTGTGGCTTATAGTTGTATATATTGATTTTTTGTTTCAGTTTCTTCGTTCCTTAACTTTACTTTCGTTCTTTATTTAATATATATCATAAATACACATATGTAAACGTGTATGTATAGTATAATAATGCAGATATTTTCTGACGACGAATGAAAAATTATTTATTAATTTACGCCTATTTTTTTTAGATACATATATTTATTGTATTGCAATACCAAATTAACAATAAATAATAATGGGAAGACATGCTTTTCCGCTGAAGCAACCATTCTTGGTCGACGATAAATATCAATTTATACGTGAACTTGGTCAAGGTGCTTATGGTTTTGTATGGTAAAGAGTATTCTAAAAAAATCTTAGTTTGTTAACAAAAAAATCGATGATTTTTTGGATATCAAATTCCATCCGTTTAAATCGTTCAGTCACCGAATCATGTAATCAATTGATGAATAATTCAATAATCATATACGGTTTTTTTCTTCCTCTGATTAGTGCTGCGCGTAATACACAAACGGGTGAAGGGGTCGCAATTAAAAAAGTGACCAATGTATTCAATAAGACTATTCTCACGAAACGAGCATTGAGGGAGGTTAAACTGTTGCAACATTTTCGAGGTCACAAAAATGTGAGTGAGAGATTTAAAAAAAATTAACATTAGCTTTATACTGAAGGATTCATGTAGAAATCAATTAATTCAATACCTAGATCACGTGTCTTTTCGACATGGATATAATCAATCCTTTAGATTATAATGAAATGTGAGTCGAATCTTATTTCAATAAACTCAAAGAGATACATATTATAACTTTGTAACTAATGATATCGTAATTTGTACTGATTGAAAAGTTACCTCTATGAAGAATTAATGGAAGCAGATCTTCATGCAATTATTCGCTCAAAACAATCTCTAACGGACGCGCATTATCAAAGTTTCACGTATCAGATTCTTTGCGGATTGAAATATATTCATTCCGCGAATGTTTTGCATCGAGATTTGAAGCCTGGTATAGCAGAATTTAATTGATTAGGAAAATGTGGGAGAAGGATAGATATTTTAATTAATAATTTTCATTTCAACTTAATTATGGATTTCTTTTTATGTGACGCGTTTTTTCTAATTACTAAAAATAAAGGTAATTTACTTGTAAATGCTGATTGCGAACTTAAAATCTGCGATTTTGGACTTGCTCGTGGATTTTCTGAAAACCCCGAAGCAGATTCAGGATTCATGACGGAATATGTCGCCACTCGATGGTATCGTGCACCAGAGATTATGTTGAGTTTTCAGAGTTATACTAAAGCTAGTGAGTGAAAATCAAAACTATGATTGTATTTTACATTCATCCATTTAATTTTGAATAACTTTTTAAATTCATCATTTTTTTTAGTTGACTTGTGGTCAGTAGGTTGTATTCTGGCTGAATTGTTGGGTGGCGTGCCTTTGTTTAAGGGACGTGATTGTATCCTTTTTTATGCTTGCTTCCATTATTTCATGTGTTAACTTCTTGAGTATTCCGAAATTAGTTTTTTTATTTTATCGATATTATTGTTCCTAATCAATCAAAATCAAAAAACAAAGATGTCGACCAATTAAACCAAATTCTGCAAACATTAGGCACTCCGAATGATGAAACATTAACAAGGATTGGGAGTCCAAGGGTAAGTAATATAACATTAGTAATAATCAAATCTTATGCGTTATGTGAACTAATGATGGAGCTCTCATCGTTAAACAAAGGCTCAAGAATACATCCGCAATCTTCCATACATGCGTAAAAAACCGTTTCAGGAGTTGTTTCCTAATGCCAATCCGCTTGGTATATAAATTCTCTCTTTATTATTTTGTTCTCTTAGATTTGAGTTTTTGAGTTTTGATTATATTTGATTTTTCTAACGTTAACTGAAATTTTAAATAAATCATAACAGCAATCGATCTGATGGAACGTTTGCTTGCGTTCGATCCATCCCAACGCATTACAGTCGAACAAGCATTAGAACATCCGTATCTTAGTGTATGGCATGATCCAAATGATGAGGTAAAGAGTTGTAACTTTTTGATTGATTTACTATTGTAGACCAGAACTAAAATCCTTGTTTTATTTCTTATTCATTGGCCTATAAATAAAAGGCAATATGCATCTCAACTTTCGACTTTTCATCATTCGAATCAGTCAATGACCCGCAACTAATGCGCCAAATGATTGCCGATGAAGTTGCAAAATTCCGAGCACTTGTACGCCGTCAACAACTGCCACAACTTAATTTAAGCACAACTACAGCGAACGCTGGATTATCGAAAATTCCGGATCGTGACACGATTTTGAATTCGCCAACTGCGATTCGTGATCCGGAGGCATTGGTAGTTGGTACTGGTCATTATCAACCACCGCCACCTGGTTTGGCAAGCGCTGCTATGAGCGAGGATTTGGAGAGGGAGTTGAGCGGTGGTGTTGGTGTATAGTTGTGTATTACTATTTATTAGGATTTTGGTTGTTTTTTCAAATATTTATGCACGTGAAAAAATGTAATGACGAATATCACGGGGGTGGTTTGAAAACAAAACTACAGACTATTTTTTAAAAAAAGATCGACCATTCTTATGCACGTGTGTTCACATAGAATAGTACATATTTGCGAAACTTGAAATTACGGACTAATGGCGTTGTTGTAAATTTAAATTTGGTAGACTATATAAATAATATCATTATTATTGAGAAGCCCTTGGGTTGTTACCCACAAGGGATCTTTATATGAATTGATATAATCGTTTTATCCGAGCAATTGCATTGATAGGAAAGAGATAAGAATTATTCATTATAATTAAAAGGAGTTATTCTTTAAGAATAGACTTTCTTTAATTTATGCGTTGTTCGAGATAATTGTCGAGTTGTTTGTCCGCTCAACTGAAATCACCACAAGCTACCTATCAAAAAAGTAGACAATAATAAAAAATTTGACTTTATGTTTTACCACATAACGATAACTAATATCCTGTGATATTCTCATGGTTTGATGTTAAAGTGATTTTTCGTCACTTACCGATAATAACGGTCTTTTTATTTACCTTTGAGCTTTTTTTATTATTAGCACATAGCGATAGTTCGACCTAACCAATTTCAAAATATTTTTAAAAAAATCGTATTTATTGACAGTAGAATGTGTTTAACATAATTTGTGCTTTTATTCTTTCAGCAATCGAAGACCAATTACATGTGTTACTTTTATTTGATATGTGAATATTCATTCCAGGTCAGGTTTCTTTAAGAACATTCAACGCAATTGTACTATAGGCTTATATTATCATCATTTCTACTACTAATGTTTATGCTACCTATCTAACATGAGTTGTGGTTTCGACCTATATCTATATATAATTTTCTCTATCTAACCACTTCACTTCGTCATTCCGAAAAAACAGAAGCACTGAACATGGCCATATGATATTATTTGTAGATGAATCTGAATTGTCGAAAAATTCAAGAGCTTGAATGATGAGTTATAGGAAACGAGTAAAGAGCGTTTTTATCCAAATTCGAAGTTTGACAGTATATCATTAATGAGTTTGTTATTAGGGCATTTGAAAGAATTTATTAAAAATGTAGAAAAAATGTAGATGATAGATTTTTTTCAGAGACCAGAAACTTGTTTTGAAGAAAACATTCAGTTTGGAATACGATAAAAGCAATTCATAATTACTTAATATGTTCTATCAATTAAATATGAATTCACGAATTGACCCTCATCACAACACGATATGAAACAAACGTGAAAATCGATGATAACAAAATACACTCCACCCCACTATAGCGAACCCGTTAAACCAGCTCCCGCTATAGCGGAGCAATGCGTCAGGACGTAATTTTATACTGTTATTTTTGTTAATAACGTTATGGCGGAGATTCAATATAATGGCGCCCGAAGCAATGTTATTTATTTTATAAAATATATAGTTTTAAGATTCTTAATGGGCAAAGACTCGTTGATTTAGTCAAATTGATGCTCTTCGACTGTCAAAATCACCGAAATTCTGCAGAGGTATTAACGGCTTTCAAAGGCTTTCGGGATAGAGATTCATAGAAATCCCATGTATTTTTCACACCAGTCTTTTTTAGAAGGGGAGGTGATTTTTCCGCCATTACTTTCCGTGCGGACTGTATAGTTCAAAAATGGCTTCACGATAGTATGGAACCTCGAAAAACCCTTCTTCGCATCAATTCATATTAATCAAGCAATCGAAATATTGTCGGATCCAATTAAAAATTTGTCATAAATGCGATTTTCTAGCAAAGATTGATAAGTTCATCTTAGAAAGACAACAAACATGTAAATTAAATACATTGGAGAAGATGATGATACACGTGCAGAGATGTGAAAGATTCAAAAAATGGGAATACATATTTAAAGCTATGCCTTTATCTACTTGGACGAGTAACAACTTAAAATTGATTAGTAAACAAGTTAACGTTAAGTTTCCTGTTCATAAAAATTTGAAAGAAAAAAGCGAATTATCCACAATTAAATATATAGAGTACTTTTTTTAATAAGGTTTTTCGGTGAAATAATAAATTTTTATAGTATTTCGATAAAAATTTTATGGGATTTCAAAGGATGAAATATGCTACAGCTTATCATGACTCTATCTTTAGTCATAAATTCCTATAAAAAATAATATAGGAACTACCGTTCAGCAGAAAGAATCCCTGACTAAAGATGGCACCACAATAGACTACAACACAATTGTTCGATCCTTACACCGGCCATATGGACATTTAATCGTTTTTCAAATGAATTTGATAATAGCGAGACGTAGTCTAGGTTACTTCGTAGTACTTTTTGAACGTTAGACTAATGGCCTGAATTTTTTTGCCAATATAATTAATGTCTATTTAAAGTGTCATCATCTCAATCCTCAAGATAAGAGTATTTTTTCTTTGTCTACTTGTTCGATATTCAAATATTTTTTTAAAAAATTATTTGACATTCATAGTTAAATTATGAAGCAACTATAGAAATGAACACAACACAATTCTCACGGTCGAAAAATTTCAAAAACACCGAATTCCTTTTTCGGCAAAAAGAATTAACAGCAAGAGATTATCCATCATTGCCGGATACAAGAGCTCCAGTATGTCCAAGCTAAATATCAAAGACTTGTTCACGACGCTAAATCCTTTTCGAAGAATATTGTCATTACGTCTTTCTTCCCTATAATATCAATCAAGAGCAATAACAACAAAACCTTAACGTTAATAATAAAAATAGGCTCGATATTCATTGTCTAAACATCCATGGGTACAGCATGAAAGTGTTGCTGATTGAATAATATGAGTTTATTTTACATTAGAGTGTCGACTGATGCTGTTCGAGTTCTTACTACTTATTATATAGACTATGCCCGATAAAGAAAATAGCACTATACGTCTAATAATTTGATAAATAATGGGCGCACGGAAATATTTTTATTTTTCAATGAATTCAGAAACTTCCGCAGTTAACATTTACTTGTGAATTAAAATTTTTTATAGCAAATAAAAAGAATATTTGTTTAATGTAACTTATTTAATTAGGATGAAAATTATTAAATCTCGATATATATTCTCTTCACTCATCAATGCAATCACATAAATTTACGAAAAAAAGTATTATTTTTATTTGGCGCAGTGTTCTTGACTTAAAATTTATTTGCACATTAAATTAATTAGCTTAAAGTGCTAAGTTAGTCACTGCAATGAATGAGTTGTCTTGTTCCTTTTACTAATTAATTTTGCCCATTAAATGTGAGAGATCAATGTGACCGAATTTTCATATCTTCGTCGGATTGTGATAGGAAAAAAAGAAAAGTCAGCATTTTGAAGAAAGATTCGTTAGAAACTAGAGGAAAGAAAAAAGAGTTTAGTGAAGATTGTGATTTTGTATAGAGAAACGAATAATTTGGTTTTTGTCGAGCTGATCTAGCGTTTCATTATTTTCTTCAAAATTGAGTCCGAGCTTTTACCGGGTTTTCAAATACGTTAATTAAATTTTGAATATGCGTTATTTATTTGCACACAGATTAAATTACTTGGGCAGATACTGACAGTTTGGATAATATTGCTAATATCATATGAAATGCAAACTTCGAATATGCTGAAAAAATCAATTATAGTGTTATAACGATGACTAATTAAAATCTTCGATGTAACAATTTTTATAATAACTTCTCGATATAACGATATTTACAGATCTATCGAGTTTGACTGTAGGAGTGGTTCCTCGAAGATCATAAATGCCCAGGAAAATTCTTAATAGTGAAGTTTAACAACAACTTCCTGATGACAACTCAAACGTAATGCGCAGAAGAATTCGTCGGTCAAGGTTAAATCGATGGGATCGAAACTAACTGATGATGTAATAAAGAATAGTCTTTTATTTTAAAGTTTGAACCAATCAGATTTGATCATCTTAAAAAGATATATATTGTTATGATATTGTTACTGTTTTGAGCTTTTACATATGAAAGTATTTCAAAATGACAATAGTGACTGTGTTCATGGCAATTTACTTTGAATATTATGACTAACTGATGTTTATGATGATAAAATAATGTTTCTTGACAAGATAAAAAATGATGAAAATAAGACTAAACTAATAACAAGACTAAACTAAAGGTAAACTTAACCAAAAATTACTTAAAATTCCAAAAATAAATCAATTTAACATGTCAAACTCGACATTAAACCAAATAAAACTCAAAACCAAAACTTAAGAACTTAAAACTAGAACTAGAGAACTTAAATTAAACTAAGAGAACTTAAATCAAACTGAGAGAACTTGAGAACTTGATTTTTATTAATTATCAGCACTTGTATTTATACATATTTTCATGTTATAGTGACGCAGTATGGCACAGTAATGCATAGTATGGTACAGCATGGCACAGTTGCAGCGCAGCATGTGGCACAGTAGATCTTTGTTAACACTATGAAATTATTGGTTCTTTCCTAAATTACACGAAATTTAACTATATCATAATTAATAATCTTGTTCTATATCTAAATACCAATAGCAAAAATAGAAAATAAAGACTAAACTAAAATAGATAATGATGAAATTTGCCAAGAAAATGGTGTGATAAATATGTCCAAATAAAGATAACAATAAGATAAATATAGAAAATAGATAATACGAGAAAGAAAAAGAAGAAAATAGAAGGGAGTAGAATATTATCGAACCAATTATGTAGTCTAAATATCATTATGACTAATTTTATCATGCCGCTTCTTTTGTTCACATGTTCTTTTGAAATTATGGTCGATATTGAATTGGTGACAATATCTATCTTATATAATTTTTTAAATATCTATTTAAATATTAATTATCTTATATTAATTTGTAATTCTTGTTATAATTTATAATTTTATTTAAATTTTTATCAAATATTTATTTGAATTTAAATTAAACTTTTAATCAAATTTTAATTGAATTCAAATTTTTAAATTAAATTTTTGATTAAATTCAAGTTAAATTTAAGCTTAAATTAATCAAATTCAAACTAAATCATTTTTTTTAGAATTATACTATAAAAAATATAATAATAAATAAATATAATTATAGAGAGATTTAATTATATATTTTTATATTTTTATTTTATTTAGAAAGTAGAATTAGAATTATAAATTTAAAAAATATTTTAATTTCTATTACTATTAAATTTAAAGTTTTGTAATATATTATTATAATAAAATTATAAGTAATTTTTAAGAAATTTAATATTAAATTAATATAAATAATATCATATCAAAATAGCTAAACTTAGTTATAATATAAATTATTACTTAATGAATAATAATAAATAGTATTAATTTGAATATATATATATTTAAAATAACTAATCGAAAAATATTATAAAACTAACTAGTAACTTTAATAATATTTTATAAAGTATTTATTAATAAATATATAATAATTTAAATATTTAATATTAATTTTGCAAGTATATAATTAAAGTATAATATTATAATATTTTATTTAAGTTATTAATTACAATAACTTATTTTTTTATAGTTACAAAACCAGTTATATTTATACTTTTATATTAAATTTTTAACTAGATAAATATAATTAAATATACTCAATTATATCAATAATAATTAATAAATAATTTTTAGTAATTAAAATAAATTTTGATCAATTATATAAATTCAAATAAATTATAAAAAATTATAATAATAAATAATAAAATAAAGTCATTGAATACTTTTTCACAAAATAATAGTAAAAAAACTTTGTATTAGTATTTTAAATATAAATTTAATATATTTTAGAATATGTTATATTAAATTTTTAAGTTTTTTTTTAATTATTTACTAAAAGTTATAATTAAAATATATTAGTATATAATTTTTCAAATAATTTAATAATTTATACAAAAAAATATATTATTATAATTTTATTAATAATTAAAGATTAATAAAAAATTATATTTTAAGTTTGTAGATTTAAAAATACTTTAAAATATTATTACAATAGTAATATGAAAATTATTAATTCCAAAAATAATCAAAAAATATAAAATATTCAAAAATAATTTTTCACTTTTTATTTTTTATTATACTTTTATTTTATTTTTTTATTTTTTATATAGTTATTTATTTTATTTTTAGCTTATTATTTTTTATTTTATTTTTATTTTATTTTTATTTTATTTTTTTACTCTTTTATTTAATTAAATAATTATTTTATCTTAAATAATTATTATATTTGAAATTTATATTTTTAAAAAATATATAAATAGAAATTAAAACTTGTATATACAGTAGCAATAAAAAAGAATGGTATACTGAAACAAATTTATTAATAAAATACAAAAAAAAATGAATTTTTCTCTTTATATAAAAGTTTTTAATTTTACTAATAAATATTTTTTATTTTTATATTAAAATAAAAATAATATTATATATTTTAACATATATTTTTTTAGATTTTTTAGATTTAATTTGATCAAGTTATTCTAATTACATATAAAATTAATTATTTTTTTATATGTTTTAATTATAAAAAATAATTAATTTTATATATAATTATAATAACTTGATTAAATTAAATCTAAAAAATCTGAAAAAAATATATGTTAAAATATGTAATATTATTTTTATTTAATATAAAAATAAAAAATTTATTAGTAAAATTGAAAATTTTTATATAAATAAATTTTAATATTAGTATATTATTTTTGATTATCACTATAATTAATTAATAATTAATAAAAAATAAAAATTACAAAATTATTATAATATTATTATTTTAATATAAAATAAAAAATATTATATTAATATTTTAATCTAATTAAATTTTTTTGTAAATAATTATATAATTTTTTTCTTTTATTATTAATTATTATTTATTAATAAATTGAATTTATTTATATTACTAGTAGTATATTTTAATATATTTTGATAATAATTATTTACTAATTTAATATATTAACTATACTTTTAAATATTTTTTAATAGTTTTTTAAATATATATAATTATATATTAAAAATTTTATATAAATAAATATTTTTTATAATTTTATAGAATTTTTTTCAAAAAATAAAATTTTTTGATAACTTATGGAATTACACATATAATTTTATTAATAAAACTTAGTAAAAATTAAAATTTTTGTCTTATATAAAAGTTTTTAATTTTATTAAAAATATTTTTATTTTTATATTAAAATAAAAATTATAAGTTATAATTTAACATATATTTTTTCTGTATTTTTTAGATTTTTTTTGATTTTTTATTATTTTTTTATCTTTTCTTTGTTTATTTTTGTTTTATCTTTGTTTATTATTATATTATCTTTGTTTTTTATAATATATTTTTAACTTTAATTTATAAATAATATTTAGTTTTAGTATTATTTTATTATCACTTAAATACATT